GAAATACTTAAATATTGTAGATAAAACTGAGGTCACTACAATTCAAAGAATACGAGAAAATTGGCCAGAGACTTGCACAACGATACAGAAAACATGCCATATTATGATTTTAAGCTTAGACATTCAGTCTTCTGTGTTTCTCTTGAAGCATGAAAGAGTAAACAGTTTTTATTACTGCAGTTGGTAATTTTCATTTCATCTCAGCATTATTGTTGACCTTATACCGTATTACACGAAGTAAGACATTAAGTTCAATATCTACAACGGACAAAGTTATGATTGCGTTCGTGAGATCGGAAAACTTTTAGCGACGTCTTCCTCCAGAGGGAACGCTTTTCTTAAATGAGATCAACAAATTCTTATTAAAACATAACCGATAAAAGGCTGAGTGAGTACTTCAAATTAAAATCATAATATTCTTTTACATACGTATGTTTGTCTGGTGTGTTAATTTTTCATTTTTTTTCTCTTTTACGTTACATCTCTAATGTCTTTTTTGTTTGTGTGTGGTGTTGTTTGTCTGCTAAAACAGTTTTTACACAAACGCTCCTCATTATATTTCAAAGTGCAATAATGAAATACTAGAAAATTGAAAATTATGCAAGTGAATAGGAACTACTGAAAACTGTTAAATAAAATGTCAAGTCAGATCAAACTATTAACAGCAATTATCGAAAAATACGTGACGGAATTAAGGCTCACGTTAACCATGTTTGTAAATAAAGCTTGGCGTGTTACTACCCAATACATCAAGTTACACGTAAGTGTCGCTACTTGATTGTTTAGCGAACAATGGCCGACCGTGAACATCTCCATATAAAGTTAACACATGTCTGATTCAAAATATTAAATTAAGATGTAATTTTGACCTTGTCGGGAGGGTTGACAATGAAAACAATTCCTAGAGTCGCCATCTTTTAATGTAAGTTAAACGCTCCCAGCCATATGGTGTTCGTAAATGAATAAATTTAATATGATTTATTATAGAGTAAGTTTAATGTAGAGAAAAAATTGGGAGAGAACAACATAACGATTGCGGACACACTTGACACGAATAACATTCAAAAACCTGCTGAACCTGCTTGTTCTGCAACCATATTAAAATATAATATATTTGGATATATGGGAAATATTGTACCTAATCATATCAAATATTTTGATCTATAAAACTACTAATGAAAAACCAAAAAAGTGAGGTGTTTTGTACTTACAATTTTCGATATGTTGGGGTGTTGTATATTAGATATATTCATTTAAAATAAGACTTAGGTACACGTCAAACTGTAATCCATAATGTCAAACCTTTTAATATTGATACCGTGTTACTAACATCCATTGACATAACATTTTATGGAGGTACCAGGTATTTATGTAAATTTATTGCACTTTGTTCTATATCCTATATAGTCATGGAGGTAAGAATTTTGCATTGAACATTCCATTGTTGGTGGCACACGACTTCGAATGGCGAGTGATGATGTGTTGGCCAGGATTTATAATAAGATGTAATAGCACAGTATAATTGTTACGTACATTATGCAAGTAGATTTCATATTAAAATAATTGTCATAAAACAGTATAAAGCACGTTCTAAGAAAAACATTAATATCTTGTGAAACTATGTAAATACATGTAATATGAACTATGGAAATACAGATTTTACTCTCTTAATCAAGTTCTAGAGTTTAGTACCTTTTAGCAATATTTTATCTCTGGAAGTGACTTTTTTATTCAGAATTGAGTTCAATTCCTATACTTTAAGGAGGCCTGCTCGTATTATTTTCGATATTTTATTCACTTATCATAAAAGCCGTTATCAGATGCACAAAGCATGTGACATAAATAAAAATAAGAAGAAAATGCAAATGCAATTAGAAAAGGCGCAGCCTGAAGTGAAACGACAATTTCACATTAAAATTTCCAACGTGAACCGAAAAAATCAGCCCACTCGCTTTTTAATTTAAGTAAAAAAAGAGTGTATAGAGTATTACACGAGCGTATTGCATAAAGGCGCGTTTCCGTCATCAATTCGTCACGGACGTACGCGACTAGACTTGAGACTAAATCGCCACCTGGTTTATTCATAAGATGTCTATGTTTAGACTAGGGCTGCTACTGTAATGAGACCATAAGACAAATTAGATAGGAAAAGCGTTGGAAGTGTTAGCTTTCTTTTTAATGCTCTACTGACAGTGCTGACATAATCCTTTAACTTAACCTTTATTAAGGTAAAGTTAAACAGTCGTTTGCGTCGATGGTTTAAATTTTCGAAAATCGTAAACCTCTGCTGTTGTTTTGATCCATTTGTTTACTTTGCGCCACTAGGTAATCTTAGCTTGTATATAGAAAGAGGAAGAGGTGCTAAATTAAGCAGATAAGGCTAACGTCTCAGAAAGTTGACGTGTTTTTATTGCAGTACATAGTGTACTGCAATAAAAACACGTCAACTTATCTCGTCAAACAGGTATTGAATCACAATTCAGCGATCATGTACATTGCTATTACGCAACTAGGTAAGTAATGTTTAGGTATTAGTCAAAGTGGTAATTACATGCCTTTAATATATTGGAAAAAATGAATATTTAGGTATACAATATTGCACGACAACGAAAGAATTTGACATTATTAGTTTTATGTGCAGTGCAATGCAACATTCATTAAATAAACGTATAACATGATAAGATTTAGTGCAGATTGGATTATTAGGACGCCAGATTATTGATAAATTTGATAAAATTGGAATAGGTGTGATAAATTGATAGTAATTATAGCGATTACAAAGTGAAATCCTATATTCTCAAACAATTATTGTAATATAACTCATGTTGTTAATAACTACACTTTTAAACAATCACATTTTAGAAAATAAATACTGTAGTGAGATGTAGTTATGTCCAGAACCAGCATAACCTGATTGAGAAGTCTTCATTCCGGGTAGTAGAGTCATATGTCAGTTATGGCATGCGAAAAGTTTTTAAAATTTAAAAGTTATGAATATACTTTTGTTATTTGTTACAACACAGGACAGGTTCGTAGATAAATGCAGTTAGAGACTGTATCCAATCGTTCAAATGTAGTGTTAACAAGCGTTCTATATTTTACAAGCCGCAAAGATCGAGAGTCGTGGTCAAGTGTAGTCAATCACGGAAGCTGGTCTAGGACAAGTAGTTTTCGTATGTATATTTCCTCTAGTCCAAAAGTAAGATTTGTTAAGATGTTACGTGAAAGTTTAATTGTGCGAATGGACTATCAATGTTCCCAAGTATATTGTGATGTAAATAAAATACATATATTAGTTGAACTATTCAAACGCAGGTCTTGGTTTAGAAAGGTGATTTCATCTAGATTTGTATTCGTAGATAGACTTGCATATTCATTGTAGAGAGTATTTGTATGATTAGCACTAAATCATTGCGAGTATTTTAAACAGAGAAAGCATTAATAGTCGGTGCGTGACCTGAAGTAGCACCTAGTGTGTGAATAATGTTATTGATTATAATGCCAATAGTGAATTTAAAGAGCCATAGCATTAAACAAGCTTGCAGTAGAGTGGAAAAAGTCCCTAGTAATGAAGCCTTAATAGCCAAGTGGTCTTACAACCAATGTTTCGCGTCGGCGTTTCATCCTGGATCGCACATTTTACTTTACATCTAGTTGTCTCATTAATTGTGGTTTAAGACATTTATTTCTCATCAAGACTACCTTTTAACTATCTCAGAAACATGGGATATCTTAATTTAAGTCTAAACTTAATTAGCAAGCATTCAGAAGTTCGTATTTAATATATTTGGTAGGGTTATTATAAAAGAAATACGCACATCATATAAATTATAAGCCAGCGTTAATGTCAACCTATCAATAGAGTAACGTAGACCTCACATAAACGTCAACTAATTAAAGAAAAATGTAGCTAGCCATTATAATGTCAAATAAAACATGTTTTCAAACTTTGCAAAATAACCACGTTGTTAAGTTTATAACTGTAATTGTATTTATAGGAGACCGCACGCACGACACAACATGTTCTTCTTATTGTGATGAAAAAGTGACCTTAGCATGTTACGATAGGTTTTCTGTAATCGTCATTTTGTTTTCCAGCATGACTAAAAATATATGTAGTTCTTAATGATCACGGTCAGATGTATATGATACAACGTTCGAGGTAACTTATCTCCTTGGCGCAGCGCCAAGGTGCCACCGACAGTAATCATAATTCAAGCCCTATGACCCGAGCTGTAGGTACGTGAAAGCATTTGTACTATTACTGATATTGGTTTATTACTAATTTATTGCGATGTGCCCTCCGTGTAATGTATGTTTTACTGCAAAGTACTTTTAAATATTGAAATTTATCTATTATATAGTTAGATTAAACGCTTGATTTAGATAATGTTAAGGTTGATCTGCTGGCGTTAAATGTGTTCTGTTTTAGTTTTTCCCTTAAAGCCGTTTCGAGATTTTTGACATTTTAAATTAAGTATTCGATAATCCAGGTAGCGCACGGTATAATCCAGGAAATGGTTGATGATACGTAAACACAAGTTGAGTTGTCTTGGATAATTTACTTTACTGTCAGATGCATATGCAGGCACAACTATACATAAAAAACTTTAGCCATATATGTTAATTAACGTTCAAAAGTGATTAAAAAACAGGTTTTAAAGTATCTATGTACTTAGAATCTATTAAAAATTAATCTCTTGTTTTCTTTTTTGCTTCTCCTATTTGTGTAAGAGCTCAGATTTTATCTCGTATATGCAAAAGCTACATTATCATAAAAATTTCGCGATTAGACAGTTTGTTTATTAAAGACAAAATTAAACGAAGGTTAATAAACTAGTAAACATTTTTATAGCAATAAGTGTCCAAGTTCAAATCACGGTAACAATAGATGTGTGTGTACGTTACGCAAATGAATCATTTTCACTAGTTAGCAGTCACTATGCGCAACGTAATTTGAGTTTACGCTAGGCATGTAATGTTCCCAGATCGATACTAACCTTGTGGTAGGTGTCCTTTTGCCAGTTCTTGATTTGAGCCATAACATCGTTAATGAGTCTATCTCGCACACTCAGGTGAAGGTCTGACAGGCGTTCAGCCTCCACCATGCCGCCTTTCCAGGCAGCCTCCATAGTACCATATTCTGGACCTGTGATGCAAAATAATTCCATAAGTTTTTATTTTACTTGAGATAGTTTATCCAACAAATTTGCACAACAAAGATACATTTATCTGTCAACAAGTCATTATGTTATCACAAACCCACGGATACGTCTCCAGTCAAGTAAATTTTCTAGAGCAAAAGGCCATCATAGTGATCCAACCGGCGACGCAGGACGACGTGTTGGCCGAGTGCAAACTGGATCATGGTGCCTTTGTGGCAGGTATGAAGTAAGGGAGATGCAAAAAATTTAAACCTTCTTTCGTCAATGTATTTAGCGCACGTCTTTCATTGTTAGATATTTCACAAGGTGGCAATACCCCGTTAAACTTGGTGTGGTAAATAGTAATTTCCATTTGGTCAGATCATAAAAGCATAATTCATATAAATTTATATTACTAGGGTATTTGATGAATGTTGCCCAAGCATAACCAAAACATTGATATAATCCATTTCTAACCCTAGCTTAAGTTGGTCTTCGTAAACTCAAGAGAACATAATTAAATTAGTATTCACTTTTACTTTGCATTAGACACCAATACAAAAAACTTTAACCGATGCATGAAGCTGAAAACACTTTCCACAAAGATTGAATCAATATGTCACACACCCAATGATTGCTCAACCTGTCCTTACATACGCTACGCTAAATACTTCGGTGCCATTTCGGTCAATCACATAATAACTTTCATTGCACTTGCGGTGGTTTTAAACGAGCCGCGGTTTACGTGCAAGCCGGTTTGCTTGATAAATACTTTCCTCACTTGTGACGATACTTGCACTTTTCTACACACCTGCGGAGTAGTGCTACTTCTACAGTTAAAAAGATTTTCTTACATAACAACTTATTTATATGTTATTAATTCTGGAATAGAAATACTACTGATGTGTCATTGTGATAAAATTTATATTTTTTATTGATGACATAATATTTTTTAACGTGGTGGTCAGTATGCTATATTTTTAGAAACGTAATTTCGAGACAGAAGCAATCTTTACCTGGCAAGTTTACCAGGTATGCACTAATAAAAATTGTATGTACTAAATACATTACTGTAAATGTTTATATGTACATATAATAACTCTCGCAAAAATAATAATATTTAATTACCGATGCTGTAGATTGATTGATTGATGATTCCGGCGAATTGAGAACCTCCTCCTTTTTTGAAGTCGGTTAAAAAAATAATATGATAAATCCTCGCCTAATCGAGGGCTACTGTTCGCAAAAAAAGTTTAACTGAGCGCGGCATGAAGTACTAGCTGTAATAAACAAACCAGTCTCATCAGTATAAGGCCCGACCGCTTTCGCAAGTGCATTTCATAACAAGATTTACTGTGACGTGACTGTGCACCGACTCGATGACCCATACCATTCTAAATTTAATAGAGCCAATCGCGACACTTACAATATTTAAATCGTTCAATAAAATAATAAGGCTCAGGGTACATTTGTTGCAAGAACAAGAAAATACAGTGTTGTTACGACCACTGCGAATATAGTTTGAAATTAAATTGTTATCTAAGTTGTCTTGTGTAACTTCAAATTGTTTTTATTGTAGTGAGAAAAAAAGGAAAATTTGAATTCATGAATACAAAAAACCCTGTCTGTCAATTGGCGTGATTTAATTGGTACGTGTTTCTAACAAAATACTTCAATTTATTCTGTAACCTTAATCACTAGACGGCAATTGGGTCTTTCCCTATTACGTGACCAAAAATTTAGGTGCAAAATATATATATGTGTGTAATACAAATCTGCCTGCCTCCCACGATATCCATGAGTAAAAAAAAACAGCAGCCCGTTTAAATGTACACCTACCTTAAATTAACTCACTTTCGGCACGTACGTTACGCACGCGTTTTGACTAATTTTTGCCCGTGATCTGAATATTCGATAGTCGCTAGCACTATCGCTTACAATCCTCTACATTCTGATAAACTTTCCATTTTATTGAACTTGCCTTTATTCAAGACACATTAAGTTGCATAATGGAAGAAATTTTTGTTACAAAATATGAGTGTTACACATGTCTTTTTTTAAACAAGCCAGTTGATGAATGATATGTGCGAAATTTAATAGCTAATCTTAAAGAAATGCGTTATCAAATTTAATACCTTAAGGTTATTTTACATTTAAATGCTGCTTTTTACCAGGTTAAGTGTACTACAATGCAGAGTATTATGTAATAAGACCATGGTATTTCCAGTAAATATTTGAATGGTTATGTTATATCGACCTTTTATTTTCATTTAATTATGTGTATGAATGCCAAGCGACATATAAATCAGGTGTAGGTATCTGTATTTGTGTATATCAGCATTTTAGCCTTCATGTTCGGATATGATTTTAATTTTATTGTATTTTATTAGGTAATCTATGCATATTGTATTTCATAAACGCTGTTTTATTGAAGGTTGAATAAATATTTACACTATTAACGACTTATTAAATAATAACATCATGACGATGTTAATTTGATTACATTTGGAAAACATGGTTACAATTTACATGGAGTTAAGTTTACGATATTGGGTGAGGGATCTTAACCCTATCAATGCTTTTAAAAAAAATCTTTATACTCAGCAACTTAATAGTCCACCTACTTCAGGTTGAGTTTGTCAACACAAATGTTACTGTTTTGTTTTATTTTTATTCCTCACTTTTCTTTGTCGAATGTAGAGCAAGGCCTTTATTTCACTTGAAAAATAATAAAAACACTGATAAGCAATTAGTTTGAAATCATATTATTATCTCAAGGACGAGATCACACGGTTTCATAAATTGATAAGACCAACAACCAAAAACGACATAAAATTTTAGAAGCTGTGATTTTACTCTATACTCGCTAAATAAATCTATGACTGTATTTGGAAGCAGGAAAACTTTTTTGGAGGAAACTGATAATATAATAATCTACGAGATTTTGAATAATCTCAATCACTAAATTATCTGTTAAAGCGTAATCTCCCCGTGCTTTTTTTTTGCACATTTTCCTGATCAGTATCGGTAACATATTTAAAGTACGATATAGTGTGATTTTCTTTATAATCGAAGAGGCATGTGATAGGGTACCCCGAGCTGTTTTGTGAAAGTGAAAGAATCATACTTACTGCGCCGAACCCAAATACAATTGGGATAAGGGGGCAGATGATGATATCACAGATGTAAGTAATTAATTTCAATAAATATTTTTTATCAGAGGGAGGCACTAGCACTAGATTTCTGACAGATTGTCGTTAAATTGACAAGAAACCTTTATCCTAAATAATACTGTTTATCATACGAGTAGCAATGCGTTGTATTATCCAAACACACTTATTTTTTGGTGACGAAGATCGCCACTAGTTGAGCGCGTCACACCGTTATTTTGGAGTATAGTGTTACGACTGTTCAAAAACAGCTTTAACTAGTTAAGCCAAGGGTTTGAATACCTAATAGCATAAAAGAAAACTGTAATGAAAAAGTCTGGAAATCTGTATAAATATTAATTAAAAAACAGTGGGCTTTTATGGAGTTTTTTAGTTGATATAAATAAATATTTAAGACGCGTTCAGTTTAACCGATATCATGTCATAATGTGTGCTGTGCTAAATAAGTTCTTAATGTTAACGGCTGGGTAAACAAACTAAGCAGTAACAAGTGTTAATATTCATCTATCATGTTAATAGAAAAACCACAAAGTTAACGTACTGTACATTAAATACTAGTTGGTTTACAGCAAGTGTCAACAGTATGAGTAGTTTTGTAAAGATAACTACTGATTTTTTGTGAGATAAGATTGAAATTAATTATTTAAGTGAGTGTTGAGCTCAACATCTCGACTTTTGTCGGTTTTATAAATACCCCGTCCCGTAACACACGGGAAAAAAGATATCTATGTCCGAATAACTTCAAATTGATAAAGTTGGATATGAAAAATGATAATTATTTACTGTAATTTAATTTTTAATGTGTAGTTTCATTGTATGAGAGGAACCTAACTAGTGTGTGTCTGTCGTGTGGTGCGTGTTATTTGCGGCCCTCCTCCTTCCTCGTCCTCGTCCTCTCCCTCTTACCCGTCGTATGCTTAATGTATGTTGTGTGTCCAGTGTATGTGCTATGTTGAGTGGGTCTAGACTGTCTGAGGATTGCGGTATGTCTGGCGATTGTTGCGAGCCCTGTGGTTGTGGGTCCTGTGACTGATGCATATTTTGCGATTCCTGGGTGTTTTGTGTATGTTGGTCCTGTGTGTTGTGTATGAATACCGTATCTCCCAAAACTTTACTGAGTATGGTCACTGTGTGTATGGCTGCTTGTTTTTGAAGGATGGTTATGTCGATGTTGGCTCCTAATTTATCTATGTATTTCTTTATGCTTTTAGCGACTATTCCAGTTGCGCCTATAACTATCGGAATGACATTCGTTTGTGTATTCCACAGGCGGGTGACTTCAGTTTTCAACAGGTAAATTAATTATATTACAGTGGTTGGTTGAGCTCAACATCTCGACTTTTGTCGGTTTTATAAATACCCCGTCCCGTAACACACGGGAAAAAAGATATCTATGTCCCCAATAACTTCAAATTGATAAAGTTAGATGTGAAAAATGAGAATTATTTACTGTAATTTAATTTTTAATGTGTAGTTTCATTGTATGAGAGGAACCTAACTAGTGTGTGTCCGTCGTGTGGTGCGTGTTATTTGCGGCCCTTCTCCTTCCTCGTCCTCGTCCTCTCCCTCTTACCCGTCGTATGCTTAATGTATGTTGTGTGTCCAGTGTATGTGCTATGTTGAGCGGGTCTAGAGTGTCTGAGGATTGCGGTATGTCTGGCGATTGTTGCGAGTCCTGTGGTTGTGGGTCCTGTGACTGATGCATGTTTTGCGATTCCTGGGTGTTTTGTGTATGTTGGTCCTGTGTGCTGTGTATGAATACCGTATCTCCCAAAACTTTACTGAGTATGGTCACTGTGTGTATGGCTGCTTGTTTTTGAAGGATGGTTATGTCG